ATGAAAGAGAAGATATATATACATATATACATATGGGAGGATCTTTTCCCATATAAATAAATAGAAATAAATAAATACATACATATATACAACAAAGAATGAATGAATGAAATGCATGGGAGAATGTTTGCCATTTGGAGCTAACAGAATGCATCTTTTATTGAAAGCAAGAAAAAACAAACAGCTTAACCCTTTACATAAAATCACCTATTGCCCTAGGGTATGAACAACAGGGAGAAAGTTCCAGTGCATTACTCTGTAAAAGATTTGTAAACTACAGGCAGTTCTTCAGCAGTCCAATTGTTCAACACGAAGCCCGGCGGTGCAGGATAAATGCCCATAGCTCTCATTTCCTCAAACTCACCATCAGTTATAACATTAATGCCTAAATCTCCCAAGGCATCCTCAACCATCACCTCAGTGTTCCTTGAATTCCCTTGAAACATATACCCTCCAGATATGAAAATACTTCTCAACGGCGGGAAGGTCATGGGTTCCCAGCTAAGGTCTTCACCAGCCAATCTGGCCTTTCTCATTTCCTAACCCTTTTTAATTCCCCTCAGCTTATCCCTCGGAGTTGGATGATACCCCAAACCAAATCGATCTCTTTTAGTAACAGGGCATATTGGATTCACTGGTCCTTGTAACTGACTTCCTAACCCTTTCCCAACTTTTGCTCCTCTTCCAAGGGTCAGCTTGAGCCCCATCATGGTACAGTCTGACAATCGAGGCTTTGGTATCTTCTTGCCTTCAGCCACAAACGTAGCATTGACAAACTCCAACGATCTGAAAGAACACTCGACGGCTTGCTCATCAACTTCAATATACGGAGCAGTAGTAGAAATAGAAGCAATAATGTCCTCTTCAGCTTGAATACATACCAACCTTCCATCAATCACAAATTTCAGTCTCTGGTGCAATGTGGACGGAACTGCACCGGCCTGATGAATCCAAGGCCTTCCCAACAAACAATTGTACGTAGGCATAATGTCCATTACGAGAAATTCCACTTCATAAGTTGCTGGACCAATATTCAGAGGAACATCAATCTTCCCCAACACTTCTCTTTTAGTCCCATCGAAAGCTCAAACCACACTTTGACAGGTCCTCATAAGTGTACTATCTAATGGAAGCTTCTTTAGAGCCACTAAGGGCATCACATTCAAAGCTGAACCATTATCAACCAAGACCCGGGACAACACATACCCTTTACATTTAACTGTAATGTGCAAAGCCTTCTGACTACCCATCATCCCAGAAGGGATTTCATCCTCAGAAAAAGATAAAAAATTATCAGCTTGTACATTGGAAACTAACCGATCCAACTTTTCAATGGGCAACTCTTTCGAAACAAAAGTCTGGTTCAAAACCTTTAACAGAGCATTCCTATGGGCCTCTGAACTCAAAAGTAATGATAAAACAGAAATACGGGCAGGCAACTTGTGTAACTGTTCCACAACACTGTACTCACTGTGTTTCAGAAACTTCAAAAATTCTATCGCTTCACTCTCGGTTACTGGTTCATTGATAACAGGCTTATCTTCTTATATCTGCACATCAACCTTTTTCCCCTTATCAACTGCAACCTTCTTCTCAGACTCTTTAGGTGGATTAAGAGAATAACACCTACCGCTTCTAGTAAAGCGTCCTACCTCATCTACTTCCTCATTCTCTTTTGTTACATCTCCCATCTAGCAATCATATTTCCAAGGCACTTGTTTATTATCCCGATATGGGAATGAAGATGGAGGTGTAATAACCACTTTCGGGGCTACCTTCTCAATAACTCAATTTTTGGGAGTAATAATTAGAGGACAACTGGCATTGTATACCCCTTTAGACGATCTTTCTGAAGCGCAAACTTCCGCTTCCTCTTCTTCAGCAATCTCTCTAAAGAACTCAATTTGTCGCCAAGCTGTCGAAACCATTTTTCCTTAAAGGTGAGATTTTGAAAACCACATTAATTTCTAATTTATCTCTTTCAATTGATTTAATTTAAAAACAAATGTGATTTAAAAGATCTCTCGTTTCGAAAAATTTTGGATTTCCTTTACGATCAAAAAATACGGTTCGAAGAGTCGCCACCAATCTTTGATTAGGGTGTGATTGGGCACCCAAACAATTCTTTGTCATTTTAAATAAAAATTAATTTTAATTAAAACAACAAATTGAGGTATGCGTTATCAAAATCCGAGTTCGAGAGTCGATTACGTGTGGGGAATGATTAGCACCCCCACAACGCCCTAAATTGGTACCTAGTCGATTAATTAACGTCTTTGCAATGAACTTTACAAATTCGAACTTAATTTAATTTTTGATCCCATAAAACAATGACGTAAATTTAAAAACATTCAAAAGCACTCAAACAAATTAAATTACCAAGTTGTTTTAGAAAGATAAAGAATGTTCGATTATTTACAAATATCGAGACCAGATCTTAAAGATATAACAACCTTTTCTCGATATATTTAAATAAACGAACATTTCTTTTTCTCTCGTTCCCAAATTTTAGGTGACGAATCAATTTTTTGGTTTCACTTTCGGGATACACTTTTATTTTAAAATCATTAAAAGCGGACCTCAAATCAGTTATGACTGCCAACTTAAAACAATTTTAAATTAAAAGTATATTACCCTTAATCTAATTATGTGGTATGTCGAGTTATGCACATGAGGGTATCATACAAATTGTGCAAAAAGTAGATGTCATGCCAAAATTAATTATACAAAATTTAAAATATCATACAACGTGACTTACAAAAAATTATATACATATATTTAAAATTAAAAACTATAACCATGCATATAATATAAAAATGACACTATGTTAAATAAATAATAAAATATGATTCTATACATATTGGTCAAACATGCTTACACGTGATATTAAATTAAATAATATATTTTATTTAGGCATTACAAACTAAAAAAAAACTATGAACATCCAAGGGCCAAAACGAACATAAGGGGAAAAAACCAGCAATAGAAAATCAAATCGCAAAGCTATAACATGGATATGCTTAAGGGACTAAAATGCACAAAAAATAAAATTACAGGTTAAATTCGAAAGCTCATACAACACCAAGATAACTAGCACCAGGACTAAAACAAGAATCCATAAAATTACAGTTCAAATGTAACAGTAACATGGAATTGAAAACAGCTTAGCCTAGGACTAAAAAGAAAACGCGTAAACTTAGAAGATATAAACAGAAACCCAAAAAACAGCAATCTAAAGACTAAAATGAAAAACTTTGAACATTAGAGGATTACACACATGATTAGTCCTTTCTTGGCCATGCACACATTTCTTTAAGCCTATGCACTGTCGTTTCATGCTTCATTCATAACCCTTAAACTAAAATTAAAACCCCATGTATTATTGGACCAGAAACCTCACCGTTCTTCACTGTCTTAACCCCCCTTCTTTTCCTTCTTTGTCTCTCTCTCGGCCACACATACGACGCTGCTTCCCCGGAAATATCGTCGTCGTTCGACAGGCCATCGTTTCATGATGCCACTCTTACCCAAACTATCTCCAACCATTATCGAAAACACCCAAAACCACACCCCAATCTGACCAAAACACTCTCTCCACTCAAACCCTTTCTTCGTAACTCACAATGGATATACGCTAACTCCAGCCACCACGAAATAATCCCTAATCTAAGGAACCCAACACCTATATTCTATGAAAACCCGAACGAGACCACAACCAAGGCAAAACGGCCAACACGACCCTCTATCGCTCAAAGCCCCAACAATGGAAGGAAGTCTATCGACGAAGAAGTAAGGTAAATTTATGCCTTTCTTTTTCCCTACGCTTTGTTTTGTTTCATGACTCATATGTACTAAATCTAATCTCAACTCTTTTTTTTTTGACACAACCCGAACTAAGGACAATGGAATCAACAAGACTCCACTTGAGTTCATATAACCCAGGTGATTTAACCCCCAAATTCCCTTTTTACTTAATTCAAAATAGTATTAGCACACACACACAAAAACGAAAGAAAGCGAACTGGAAAACAAAAGCAATTGAGGAAGAATTCCTCAGAAAAATACTTCTATTACTTTCTTTGTTTTTGAATTGTAAGATTACACTATTGTTTCTCGTCGTATCCTTTTACACCACGAAATTGATGATAGCTACTATCATTCTCGGCAACTCGTCCTCTCGTGATGGTTAATATCTTTCTCCGATGACTCCTAGTTGATTTTTAGTTTCGCCCTCCAATGGTCTCTTTCTCGGCTAATCTCTCTTTTTTTCCTCTGTCTGTGTAATTTCTCTGCTCTGTTTTCCTTCTCTCCCCCGTAATTTGTGATGGTTCCTCCATCTGGTTAATCCCCGGTAGCCCCCCTAATGCTCTCGTTTTCAGTGGTTAAATGTCCCACGTTTCTGGTAGTTAATTCCCCACTATCTGATTATTTCAACTGCTAAAGCCAACGTCCATCTCTTTTTTCTACACACAGCTGCTGTCCATTGGTCTTGAGATGGGCCTCCAACAGTCTTGGGCTCATTTGGGCTCTCACTGATCCACACTGTAACTCGTACTGGATCTAGAACTCGAACGGAGTCCCCGGACGAAACCGAGCATCTACAAGTTTACTCTTACATTAACAAATTTTCCGGGTAAATCGTTGATTGATGTTCCTTAGCTCTATTGGCATTTGCAAGCATGAATATAGAGCGAGAGGGATTCTGATTGTACGATCGGTAGTAAATTTTCATCAGGCAATCATATAAAACAGGAGTACAAATATATTGATCTCTATTACACATACAATAGCATGCATGATTTTTATTATATATCCCCACAATCACATTGTACAACATGAGAGATATAATGCCACTAGTCTATGCTTGGGCATTTATTAATTACAAGAAAACGAAGGTAGAAGCAACACTTAATTCCATTCAATAAGTTGGAAGATATCACAGAATTGATGATCATAAACGTTGTAGTTTGCCAACACGCAGCAATCATATGTTGGGTTAGCTAACCCCCTATGCATAAATAGCATCCTGATTGCACATGACCAATCCGGACTGTCTTTGCTGCAGGATCTATAGGGATTAACTTGAACAACGTACATGACTCCTTAGATTGATCTTCCTCCATGTTGTCGGAGGTTGCAGTAATCCAATACTGCTCCGATGGGTTTCCGGTGATGGAAAGATTTTTGCTTCTTTCCCAATATTTGTTGTTTTGCACACTTCTTATGTGGAACAACAAATCATCAAAGCTACGAAACTCCATTTCAAATTTTGCATATGGGCTCTTAGCATAAGTTTCGAAAAAATTGAGATGCCCATCAATGTTTCCACCGTCACGAACATAGCTCAAGTAAACACCTTTGGGGCTGAATCCAAGAGAGATCAACTTTGGTCTTGGCAATTCCATATTTGACGCCAATGCCATTTTTTTTCCTTTTAATAAAGTAATTTGCTCTTTTGTTTTGTTTTTCTCTTATGATTGCTTACCGCAACGGCACAACCTCCCATGCTACCTATATATATCCACTTTTGTTTCGGTTATTATGTCATATGGGGTTGTGATTGTGGTAAGGAAAGTTCAGTATATTCACTCGATGGGTGAATTTTACTATTGATACAGTGGCTCCTCCCTTCGGGATGGATTCCACTTCAAATGGTGTGTTGTAGAGAATAGTTATGGAGAACCTACTTTTCAGACGGTGTGAGGTGGTCGGGTGCATTTTCATTTACATAACATTTGTACCATTAAAATTATTGATTCGGAATATAGATATAATTTTTAAACCGTGACTTGTTTGTTTGGTTGTACTTTAGAGACACTAAACTTAATAGCTTACACTCCTTTAGTTCTCTTTCAAATTCTCAATTTTAGGTGATATGGTATTTAAAAGGTTTCGACAATTATTTTCAGAGAAACTATTAATTTTTACTGTGAACTTTATTTATTTATTTTCAGGATTATTATTATTTGTGTTATGGGACATTAAAATTATTATTTTGACATTGTTTTACATTACATATTATAATTTATTTTATTACTTTTATATTTATTTTGAACACTACAAATTTTTGGGTTATTAAATGTGAGATATTTTCCATTCAAAATTCATTATTATGTTTTATTTTAAAAGTAAATTTAAATGGACCTTCTGGATCTGACCCATTACTATTAGGTCGGGTAAAAGAGGGTTATAACTAGTCTATGCTTACGTGGAGGTAGTTTGACTAATGGCCAAGTGCTGTTTATCAAGTCATTATATTCTATAAATACTACATCAGACTAGTATTTTTTTTTAAGCTGGTATACAGTTTGAAAAGTAATGGATATTTTGAAATTCTGAGACATATTATTTATAAATAAAATTAGATGTTTGAATAATAAAATTATGATTTTATATTTTATTTCATGAGACTTTTAAAACGGTATATAATATGCTTAAAATAATTTAATGATGAGTGATAAATTAATGTTCAAAGTAAAGTACAAGTAAATGTTGTTGAGAAAAAAACTTGGTTATCCTAAAACACATTCATCCCACATGGGAAGAGTATAACATTGAGAAATTGAACCAATTTGGTAATTAGTGATTGTGCAACCAAAAGGCTTTCCATTGCTTGTAGGCGTAGGGTTGCAAATTAATATAATCTGAGGTTAGGAGCGAACACTTGCAATATGGACGATGTGAAATGTTTGTATTGATTTGAATTCAGTAGGATCTGTTGAAAGAGAAGATGAAGAATCTGTTTTAAAAAGACTGCTTATAGCCTTGTACATATGCCTAAAGTGATTATTTTGTACCTCTAGGGTCATCACCTCACTATTATATCCTCCACTTCGGACTTTGGAAGATCCTCCGCGCAAGTCATCCAGTCTCCGCTCTAAAAGATCATCTGCTCAAAGTGAACCTTTGTCGGAATGAACCTTGAAGCTCCAAAACTCCTATCCTCGTGATTTCTCTTGAAGTCTCTATGCGACTCTCAATTTGAAATTAATTTCTTTATCATAATATTGTTTACGCTTAATTATCATTGGATTATTAATGTATTATCTCTAACATGCACATCAAACGATTCACTTTGTGTGGCATCACATATTTGGTTTAGAAATCTTAGCTTTGTCCCGAGTGATCATAGGGTAAACAATATAGTGACATTCAATTGATGAGTTTACTGTAATTTGTAGTAGATGAGATAAAAAAAATTATAACTTTTTCAAATGCCGACAAGCTGAACAAAAGAATACAATATTTTTATTTATGAACTTTTTTGTTACAAAATTTGGGATGCTTTGAATTCCTGAACTGTGGGCTGAGAGACAAAAATGACCCATCTATACAACTCTTAATCACCTGAAATTCAAACTTCAACATAGAGATTGCGACCTCACCTGATCTGATTGTATACAACAAGAAACAGAAAGAAAATGTGTATATATTCTGTCAAATATGTTCCTAATTGGTTCCCCGATCACGAACCGGGATCCTCGAAAACTTGAATGCTCATCCTACCTTTTGATTTCCCCCCATCGTGTATGACATTCATTGTTGCCTTGCCGACACGTTCATGGCACTCATCCGATGAACGATCTGTGCTATTGTGGGGAGTACCCGACCTCTCATTCCAAAAACCGATGGAAAGAAAAGGAAAAGAACCGAGTGGAATGTAGGTAAGACAGGATAAGAGCTCACACTGACAGAATTTTTCCCATACCAAAAAATCTACATCTTTCAAATGTTTATCTACAATCAGGATTGCACGGCCAACTTCTGAAGATGCTCAAAGAAGATTTGTAGGCTTACGTCGTCGGTAAATATTACATCTGATCTGGCAGCCATGTCGATAGAATTACTGTATGTTGCTGATGGGTTCAACTTTGCTAACAAAAACCTCGCCTGCACAAGGAAAACCAAAATAAGCCCTCTGTGGCACGGTCATAAAAGAAACAATCTTAGACTGAATTGGCTATGGAAAGTATCCGAAAACCGGGTGCGGAGGGATACTGGCGTGCAAAAAATCAGTTAACTTGTTAAACCGAAGTAAACAGAACTGATTTAACTTAAACAAGTCAATTTGGAAGTTTGGTTTAATTGGTCGGTTTTCAGTTTTAATTTTCCGAACCGACATTAAACTGACCTGGGATCCATGCTGATCACATACAACCAATCTAGGGACAGGGAAACGTTCCTGAATAATCATTTCGGCATCAGCATGGGGTGCTTGCAAAAGTTGTGCAAATGCCTGTCGAAAGAAATAAGCTTTACACATCGAAATCATAGACTGTGAAGTGTGAACCCAGAAATCGATTAGTAAAGGTAGTACTCTGCAAAGGTCACTTTTTTCACACTATGAACAAAATGTTTAGACATAAATCTTACATTAAGGTATGAACAAGAACGAGCATACCTGATGTTCGGGTTGATTCTGGTAACCATGTTGCGCCACTGTGCTATTGTCATACCATGGAATATAACAATACTGAAATACGAATCAAGCAAGAGAATCCGATCAGCTGCAATGGAAGCCACGTCCAATAATGCCGGTTGAGGCAGCGAATTGAACGAATACGATATTAGCGATGGTTGAATCATAACTGCTGCATTCGTAATGTTTTCCCTGTTTAACAACATGCGAAAATAGGCGGTTTCATCGGGACTATTGTTGAAAACCTGCCACAGAAAGGAAAGAGAGAAAACCCCATACATGAGCATAGGTCAATTACATATTCTAAAATAAGCAGAGGATATCAGGAAAAAAGAAACAGCTACCTGCACAAATTGTGAACGCCGCAAATTAAACATAAACTGAGGAAACAAAGAGAAACAAGAGTTCAATGTAAAAGACGATGGATCATCCTTCCTATACTTGCCGAATTTCGAGCAAAGTCGAATGAGACTGCGATCTAACCACCGTGTAGCATCAAACCCCTCCTAAATGAAACAAAAAGTGATAATTATGCAAGGGCAGCAAGTAATTAGAAGCAACAGATTAACATGTTATTATATTAGAAAGGAGCCAACAGAATACAAGTCTAAATAGATTATCGATCGGCGGCCAATTCGGAAAAGAAATACAGCAACTGGTAGATAACTGAATAGAAATATTGTTAAATTACCTCCATCTCCATCTTCAAAGAAGTCATTCTTGCCATTACAACAGCTGCAGTCTCTTGATCAAAACCTTGTACTAATTCCTAGGAAGGATATACTATTCACAGTTAGAATAGATTAAACAAGACACATCGAAATGACAATTTTGAACAATCAAAACCACAAAATCAAGAGAATCTAAACTAACCTCTGTACTAACACCGCTGTCCATCCACCGTCTCGTCACAGTCGTAACTCGAAGCATTGTTTTCCCTTCGGAGTCTTGATAACTTCAATTAAGATGAATAAGATCACAATCATATTACTGAATGAACAAAGTAAAATCCAAATAAGGAAAACAAAGAGGATTCCTTTGAGTAGTTCATGCAGCAAACCTTGTAAGAAACTGCAAATAAAGCTGTGAATTTGCAGCTCCTGGAGCATCTGATCGCTCAGTTGATGAAATATCAAATATGACCGACAAGCATGTACTCTTGCAGAGGCCACACATTTTCCATGCTGTAGTGTTCCCCTCCCCGATGATTGTGTCGGAGACATTGACTCCTTTCTGCAACACTCGTAGTAATCAGCTTAAATCCCCATAAATACTAGTAAATACAGTCTGCTGTTTAGACTCTGTTTACAGAGAATAAGGAACTTGTTAAATTCTTAAATGGTCCAACCTTCTCCATGGATGCGCAAGGTCCAATGACCCCTTGAATTTTGATGTCTTTTGAACAGTTGATCTCGAGCATGCCGCTAGAAAGGAGGGGGAAAAAAGAGCTTATAAGGAATCAGATGTTTCGACCTCAAACAAGTAAGAAAAGGACAACAAGAACTAACTTAAAACATAGGCCAAGAGATAGGTCTCCATCCTCGAAGATACGCCTGAAAGAGCCTTTAAATACAGAATGACCAAAACTTTCAGCTAGAACAACAAGGCCACCTGTTCTTTCAACTGCAACTTTCATTTCAGCAACCCCAACCTGAGACACGGAAAACCAGTTACGTTAGGAAGATTACGACGGCATAAACCCGAAACATGGCAGATATAACTCTTGAAACAACAGCCTAGATCTGTCATAGCTACTAGTTTATGACTAAGACAAACCTGATCAAGTGCAGAAGCAAAAAGGTCTAGTACATGGCCCTCGTTGACCAGCTCTTTTGCAAGACTATCATAAAATTTGACTGCTTTCTTAAAATATGGTGCAGCATCCTTATCAAGATCTTTATGTGAACGTACAGGTTCCGACAAGTCCTTTGAAACAATCTGCAGAAATCATACGATCAATAACATAATGATCATAGTACAAGCACAAACCATATTCATATCAAC